TGAGGGTTGCAATCCGTTGCCGGACACGAAAAAAGACAAAAAGGGAAAAAAAAAAAGAAAGATTCATCTTTTTCTATGCAGTGTTTGGCCACTTAGCTGGACATACTGCCGATACCAAGAGATGGCTATTTCAGTTCCGAAATAACTGGGTCTCCAAACACATAATCCCAAGCTGCCCAACCTATTTCAGAGAAAATGACTCCCCTAAAGGACCAGCAGCTGGGTCTGACCAGGCCATAGCAACTGCCCTGATCTGTGTGACACCAATCTGCTCCAAGGAGTAGCTAGGGGCCAGACAGAGCATGGCCAAGGAGAAACCCAAAGGACCCCTTCTCTGTTCTGAGACTATTACAGCCTCATTAGGGTACTGAGAATGGTTATCCCCAGACTTTAAGGTGGTTTATTTAGCTGGCACTAGGGCAGGACAACAGGAGCCAAGAAATTACTGCCATATACAAGGTACTTCAAAAAATTTGCAGAAAAATAGAATGAAGAAAAAAAGTGTCTTTCTATGAATTTTTTGAAGTACCCTTGTATTTGCTTAGTAAAACAGTGCACATATGATTCATTTCAAACCTGCTACAGGGCTTCTCCGGTATTAAGAAAACAGCTGAGGCCTCAACCTGTCAGTGAAATGGCTCATCCAAGAGTGACTAGTTCAGAAGCCAAATCAACTCACACCAGCTGCCAACCAACCACCAGGATCATGACTGTGGAACTAGCAGCAGCCTATGCTAGCAAGGGGAGCCCTGAGGCTGTAGGGAAGCAGTCACCTTGAGGAACTAATTTTTCAGCAGTATGCACTGCATGGGGGAATCCTTCCCCTGGAGGTTTACATGGACCCCTACAATCCAGCACTCATTCAATTCAGCACATGCAAAAACCCACCAAGACCTACCATGGGACTGTACTATCCTGAGCTTCCAAGACAGAAAAGAATAAGCTCAACCTTACGGAAGTCCAGGATATAAACAGACTGCAATACAGACCGCTCCAGGGCCCCAAGAGAGGCATAAAAGTGGGGCTGGAGGAAAGACAGTATACATCACCTGGAAATAGGTCCAAGGCAGAAGGAAGAAAGGGATTTACTGGGCACCCAACTTTTACTAAGCTACTGCCCTCCCTGTCAGCACTACCAGAGCTAGAATCCAGAGACCAAGAGGACCAAGTGCTGCTTTTAACAGCACAAGACTGGCAACACCCAAGATGCCCACCAACAGGGAACTGGTTCAATGAATTATAGTACACTCATACAATGGGGCATATAAGGCTTTTCATTAACAAGAATGAGGCAGCTATACAAGCAATCATGTGGAAAAATGACCAAATACACTAAGTGGGGGGAAAAGAAGGCCACAGAACACAATGCATAGAAGCCGCCATTTGTATTTTTAAAGGATGAGTTTCTGGTAACAGCTTTCTGATGTTCCTTTGGGGAACTACCCCCCCAACTCTAGGTCCAATGTTCTGCTGGGTCTGATCACCCTCCCCACCTGTGGTTGTAAGGATGGTCACCCCACCCCAGCTGTGGCAACCTTCAAATTTCATCTTCCTGATCATCCTGATTCCAAGATGGACACAGGACCCAAGCTGGACCAAGAGGCAAAAAAAACCCTAACTTTTGCAAATCAATGAGAAAAAAATTATTTCTTCTGGGATTGGAGCAGGGGGCAGAGCAAAGTAGAGAAAATTCAAGGAAGGAAATAAATTTTGGTGACATGAGGGATGTCCTGGATTGAGCCTACTCCTACTCTGGGCCTTTTTTCCTTTTCTTTCTTCCTTTTTTTTTTTTTTTTGGTAAGCCAGTATGAGTTTTTGGTCACATGAAACTAAAGGCTAATGATAATAATAGCTAACACTCATTGGGCACTTACAACATACCACAAAAAGGCACTATTTTAAGGGCTTTCATCCTCCAGGCAACCCTAAGGAGGAGGGATTATTACTAGTCCCATGTTAAACACACAGCTGCTGGGCCACAAAATAAAAAAATAAAGCGTTAAAGACACAACAGCCTTGCTTGCTCAGGCAAGATTTTGCCAAGGACCTGAGGTGGGCGGGTCCTCAGACCCCACCTAGAGTGACTTCCTTCACCCAGCCTCCACCTGTGTTGCATCTGCCTTCAACTACACACTTTACACACTCGTCCTGGCCATACCATCGACTCCTTGTCCCTCCATTGTACCAATGCTGCCCCACCCCCAACAAATCTGGTTTAAACCATAGCTCACCTTCTTGGCTCCTACTCCTAGAAGAAAAACAAACAACAAAACACACAGCCACAAAGACTGCAATACACATTTCTGACGTACAGGTGAAACTTCATAGTCCTAACTCAGAGGATCTCGGGGAGATGGATAGAGGTGATCCCTCCCCTACCCCTCATCCCCATGGAAATTTGCAATGTTTGGAGACGTTTTTGGTTATCAGCACTGGAAAGGGGTGGTATGCTATTGGTATCTAGTGATTCAAGGCCAGGGATGCTGCTAAACATCCTACAATGCACAGGGACAAGCCCCCACAATACAGAATGATCGGCCCCAAAATGTCAATAGTGCATAGGGTGAGAAACCCAGATCTGAAGTGTCCAAGCGGGCTCCCTTTTGTTTCTCGCCATTCCCAAACTTCCCCACCTTCCTCAAGTCCCCCATTCCACTTCAGTCCTAGCAGTCTGTGGTAGCACCATTGACAAACTGTTTGCATGTGCAATCATATTCATCTCCTTCCCCAGACACAGAAAACTAAAAGGTGCCCTTCCTCTGTATGAGGCCATTACCCCTTTCTGCTCTGGCTCTGACCTCCCTTAGCACCTTTAAACACCTCTGCAATGGACTGAAAACTGGACGTAGCATTAAGGTTTATTTCCCAAAGGAATATCAGCATAAAGAGGGGCTGGCATTCCCCCTCTCCTTTTAAAATCTCCTTTACTCCTAAATTCCTTCTAGCTACCTCCTTCTTCCACATCCAAGCACCATCAAAAAAAAAAAAAAAAAAAAAAAAAAAAAGACTGGAGGTGGCCACTGGCTACACCCTCCCCACAGATTTCTCCTGTCTGGCTTTCAGCAGGTGAATTATGTTTCAAAGTAGTTGCCAACTTTTAAAAATTCAAGAGGCTGGCCAGTTAGCTGTTAGTTGGTTACAGGGCAGCCTTATAACACTAAGGTTCTGGGTTCAGATCCCCATGCCAGCCGCAAAAAATAAATAAAAACTAAGTAATATAGGTTCTAGCCCTCCCTGAAAAACTAAAAGACCTAGCAACTCTGGGGACATAGCCCCAAAAAAGCTGGAGGTGAAGAACCCACCCGCCTCCTTGGGCAGCCTCAGTTCCAGGCACTCCATCTTATGCCTCCACCTGAGTCAGCTGCTAGTTGGTGTCTTACCCATTCCACTCCACTCTCCCACTCCC